TTAATGCACACTATAATGTATAAAAAAACATTAAAGAATATAAAGCAGCTAGGAAAGCTCAGTTTACATTGGAATCAAATTCAACTGATCCCCTTAAAGGGTTACTCAACCATCATGACCACTGCGTCTGCTTTAAGAAATGGTCATGGTGGTGGAAGTCAATATGTGCAACGCTAATCTATATGAATAACATATTTTGAAGGACAGTGATAGGGCTAATTTTTCACAGCTTTTATATTCATCCGAGAAGTTTTGCCCAAATTGTTCCCATAAAAGATATTCAGGCAACCGAAACGACCACACCGACAAAATTTGGTTGACCAACTTAAAAAATATATTTTCTAATGGACTGATTCACCTCAATTGAATTTTCCCGTTGTGCACAAATATAGATCACATTCTAAATATCAGTTTAATATCTGAATTCTATCAGTTCTGTAGTATACAATCCCCCACTTGCTCTCAGTATGGATAAATTAAACCCCCATGAAGAGTAATTCTCACACATTTTCCCAGCTTCCACTGGCTAGCAACTGTTACACTAAAATACTCTCAATCTGTTTAAAAAACAGACATTGTAATACAACAAGGTGGTCACAAATGGTCATAGAAGTAGTAAAGTCCTCAAGCAGAGTAATGTTACCTACACATTTTTACAAGCAAGTCCCAATAAGACTATGCTTTTTGGCATGTTATATGTTTACAATGTTCCTTCTCTGTACTTTAGTTGACACAGAAACTGATTAGAACCAAATGGCCAAATTAATCTTCCCATTTCAACATCTTGTGCTTATAGAATGGCGTATTTTCCCAAGCAGAAGAGGATTAATTTACTGTGTTAATCAGTGCTGTTTCCGATGTATCCACAGGTTAATGTACATGTTTACGTTTTTTTTTCCTTTCTCTTCTTCTACATAGATAAACGGTAGTCAAAAAGCGAGAGAAAGAAAGCGAGACAGAGACTGCAGGGACCAATAGCAAAGCTAAAAATGAATGAACTAGTCTAAAATCTGTTTTATTAGGAAAAAGCACGAGTTCTGTTTTCAGAATGGATAGTCAATCAGTTATGAAAGGAAAGGGTCAACTTTTTAGTTTTCTTATGTTTAATTAACTTTACCTATTCTACATGCTACAAAGAAAACCTCATATACAGGAGTGGTAGCACACCCAAAAGTGTTGTCTCCGCTCTACCACAAAGTATTTATTCTCTTTGCTCATTAAATGCTGCATAGACAGTCACACCATTTTACTTTTCTCTATCACAACACGAAGAAATTAAGAATCACTGTGTTTAACACTCTCTGGGATCTCAAACTCTGGCTGCACATATGTTGCTCAGTTACTCCGATGAGTCTCTGGTCTATTGTATTTAAATATTTCTGAAAAGCTGTAGACCATTATAATCTGGGGGCATAGTCTGAGATCCCTAGTGCAATGTATAAGTGCCAATATGAGCATGTAATATATATCTCAGAGCATTACAACTCACAGCAAACCTCTTTGTCAGTCCAGATCCTAAATGTCACATGGCGGTAACTGTTTTCAATGACAGTAAGTGAAGTTTCCAAAGCTTAGTAAATGGATAACATACAAGCAATACAGAAACTAAGACCCCCTCCCCCCCTCTCCCCATGCAGAGAAGCAAAGTAAATAGCTGCTTAAAAAACATTTTGTTGTGGTGCTCCACTTAAAAATAATTTGCTTGTGGCTGATCTAGCAAAACACTCTGCCACAGACAGGATGTATTACTTTAAAATCTGTTTTCCCCTTTTTCTTTTTTTCTACAAGGATAATATAAAAGTAACACACTAACAAAAGCAATGAGTCACCAAGATCCTGTAATCTACTCCAGGAGTGAAGAGGGCAAGAAGGATACTGCAGACAAAGCTGGAATGCAGCCAGTAAATACGGTCACTGATCTGCTAGAGTCATGGTCCTTCACTAAACATTGACATCTGTTGTGAACAAGCATTAGTACTGCTCTAAAAGGATACCTTGGCAGGAAGATCTTAATGCAAGGAAGGATGGAGGATAAAAACTCCAGACAATGCAACATAGAATAAATTACCATATTCAGCAGGCAATTACATTTGCGCAATAGAGCATAAATCAGATTTTCTTAGGGGCAAATACTCCTGAAATTATTTCATGTATAAACCGGCCTTGGACTTAAATTATATATATCATTGCTCTGAGAAGTGTTGGAGGAGGTGATGACATCTACACTTCACATTCTAACCCTTAAGGTGAAATTGAGGTACGCAAGTATACAATAAAGTGACATTATCACATTTTTGTTACTCTATTTCCCCTATTTTTTATTTTATTTTTTCAAATTCACCTGATCATTTTAGTTATTCATAAGAAAAAGTAGACAGAAGCGTGATCTTTGGCAAATTTTGGCAATGACCAAACCAAAGTTTAAATTTCAGTTGCCGTAGCCACAAGTTGTCAAAAGAATCCCACATAAGGGCAACCGCACACATTATGGGCAAAAGCTAAAAAAGTGGAGGCATGTTTGTCTTAAATCCATATTCCAAATCTAGCCTAAAGAGTCCTTTTAATTTTATAAGAAATTACACCAACATAAGTTATGTGTTTAGTACATGAAGAGTATGTTTGTCTAGGCCACTGGTAGGTAACCTTTGGTACCCCAGATGTGGACTACATCTCCCATTAATGCTTTGCCAGCATTAAGAGCATTATGGAAGATGTAATCCACAATACCTAATTTGCCAAAAGTTGCCTACCCCTGGTAAAGGCTTTCCCTTTTAAAAATCAGAAGTCCGGCAAAATGCAATTTCCAAAAAGCACTAAAATAAATGAAGAACCAAGTCAATTGCATTGTTACTAATATTTTCCCCACAGTGCAGTCATTCTAAACTTTAGTCATGCAATGCAAGAAAGTGGGATCTACCTTAAGCAAAGGGTAGCAGATGTGCAAAAGATAGCCTTATTCTGATGAAAAATTAGGAAATGGGAAGCTCATAAAATCTCCTAGCTTAGAAGAGAGTCAACAGAGATATTGATGAACATCATGCAGACTTGGAATAGGAAGTGTGCTTGCTAGGGAGCAAAAATCATTGGGACTTCCAAACTTGTTTGCAGGAGAGGCCCTCCAAAAAGGGGCAAACTGCTGACAGCCACAATGTGCCTTACAACAGGAACAAAAATACGCCAGCTGAAGACTAAGTTTGAAAGGTTGCACCAAGGCAGGGAGGCACCTTTACCACCCAGCTGGGCTAAACAATTTAGTACTCAAACGGGGGAGCATTAAAAGCATTGTCTTAGAACCTTGGTCAGTGGACAAGTTCATAATCCTCAGAGTCCTGCACAGGAGAAACTGCAAGACACATTTTCAGTGGAAAGTCTCATGGAGGCATAAAACATATACCTTCAGAAATTACACTTCCTCAGAAAGTTCCTTGAAGGAAACTCCATTATGTATGGGAAGCATGCAACAGACATCAGTTAGGCCAAGCGCTGGGCATAAAATGGCAGTGCAAAACTTTAAAGATTTTTGCAGCTTGCTTCCAAATTATGGGGATTATTAAGATAAATGTGACAGAATAGCTGGAAACCACTAAATGTTCACTGCTAGTCTAAGTCTCTATTCTTCATCCGCTAACTTTAACAAAGCACTTGCGGGGTAGATCAAAGAAGAAAATAACAACAAAGAACCATTAAGTTCAGCTTTCAATGACAGAGCAAGAATTATAACTGGCGATTTATAGTGTGAGGAACAGGAACGAGGAGGTATCTGAGATTGGTTCTACTTTTCCAACTGGTGAAAGGAATATTCCACAAGTAACATATTCTAGTGCACCGTTACCACACTAAATTTAAAATAATTTTTTTTTTTATTATTATATTCTTACTTGTGCACTTTGAGCATGTTCCAACATCTCCTCAAACTCCTCATATTCTTCATCATCGGGTTCTGCACCTGAAAGCCGAGCCGCTCTGGCCATGAAGTATGGAGGCAGCTCTCCAATGGCAGTGCCAGCACCCTGGATAGAAGTGGATGGATAAACAAACTAGTTATAACACAGCAATAAAATAAGTAAGATCTTCAAGATTCAACACAATATAACAAAAAGAAGGGGAAAAAAACTTTACCTTTTCTTCTATTTATGCTAAATAAGTCAGCACTGTCTTTGCCCCGATCCACCTGATTGGTGGACATCAGAATTGATAATCTCCCATAGGAAAGCATTGGATTGGCAGAGTTTGTCTAATCTGATGATCCCAGCCAAGGAGGCAGACCAGTGGGCAAAGCCAAAACGCCAGCCTGGAAACTCAGCATCTCCTCATAGAGATTAATTGAATTAATGCAGCTCTATGGGGAAAGTTCTGCGTTTCCATGCAGAGCGTGGAGACACTGAACGTCCCTGACCCAGGAAGCACCTTTAGTTGCAATCTGAGAAGTTGCCACTGGTGAGGTCCCTAGGCAGTAAGGATCGACTGATATTGATTTTTTTAGAGACGATACCGATATTCTGTGAACTTTCAGGCAGATAGCCAATATAATTTGCCGATATTCTGTACATTTACCATTTTGGGGAAAAAAACAAAACAATTTCTAAAGGTAAATGCACAAAATATACATGCCACGTGAAGTGTATGCAGTGTGTGTAGACAGGGGAGCTGTGTGTGTTTGTGTAGTGTGTGTGTGTAGTGTATGCAGTGTGTGTTTGTGTAGTGGATGCAGTGTGAATTTGTCTATGTGTCGTGGATGCAGTGTGTATTTGTCTAGTGTCTGTAGTGGATGCAGTGTGTATTAGTGTAGTGTGTATATAATGAAAGCAGAGTGTTTTTGTAGTGTGTATAGTGAATGCAGTGTGTGGGTATTGTGCGTAAAGTGAATGCAGTGTGTGTAAAGTGAATGCTGTATATACTAAATGCAAAGTGTATGTGTTTGTGTAGTGTGTGTATATAATGAATGCAGAGTGCGTGTGTGTATTTGTGTAGTGTGTGTGTATAGTGAATGCAGTGTGTGTGTTTGTATAGTGTGTGTATATAATGCAGTGTGTGTGTAGTGTGCATTATCTACACACACTACACAAACACACTGCATTATATACACACACTATACAAACACACTGCATTATCTACACACACTATACAAACACACTGCATTATATAAACACACTGCAAAAACACACTGCATTATATACACAGTGTGTTTGTGTAGTGTGTTTGTATATAATGCAGTGTATGTCTATATAATGGAGTGTGTGTTTGTGTAGTGTATGTGTAATTGAGGGGGCATTTTTTATTAAATTCTTTTTTTTTTTTAATATTATTTATTTTTTAGTCCCCCCTCCCTGCTTGTTGCCTGGCCAGGGAGGGGGTATATAGCAGTCCCTGGTGGTCCAGTGGCATTGGCTGAGCAGTGGGGGAGCCGGCAGTTTACTTACCTTCCCAGCAGCTCCTCCAGCTCCCTGTGTCTCGCAAGATTTACACAGGGAACTGGAGGAGCTGCTGGGAAGTAAACGTTTGCTGCTGGCCCCCCCCAGGACAAGCCCGGCGGTCCTGTTCTATATTAATCGGCAATATCGGTATCTGAATTGGCCGATACCGATACTGCTGAAAATACAGAATATCGGCAAAACCGATAATCGGTCGATCCCTACTAGGCAGTAATGTAAACACTGCCTTTTCTCTGTAAAGACAGTATATACATGAAATAGCCTTCAGGGATTGACTATACTCACCAGAACAACTACAATAAGCTATAATTGTTCTGGTGACTATAGTGTCCTTTTAAATTTCAGCCTTTGATCTGGTCATTTGATTTCAGTGGATGTTCAACTTTGTTCAAACTACTTAACCAAGAAGGCTACATTAAATATTTTGCTTGATTCCAAGTCTGCTCTGGGATCATGTAATTACTCAACTGAACAATATCTATTTTATTAACATTAGAAAGATGGAAGCATGGGTTGACCTTGACTCAATGGTATATACTGGCAATTAGCATATAGAATATGTTAAAATGCATGCCTTCAATAATTTAGGCATACAATTTGGACCCAACCCTAGATGACTCATGAAAATAAGAACCATCTTCAGATTACATCCAGCCAAGGAAAGTTGTGGACAGATAGACCTATTGGCAAAATATAGATCAGTAATAAAATATGTGGACATTTATTAAGCATTCTTTCTCACAATCTTATAACCAAAAAGGCAGAAATGGTAACAGTCTTCCTAAGGGAACAAAATGTTCACACATACTGCCAATGCTGTAGGTCTACAGGGCTAAATAAAATGGTACCAACGAAAAGGTACCAATATAAAATAAAATTTAAAAAAAAACACAAAATGTGCATTTTTCCTACAATGCAAATATAAAAAAAGGCAAAACATCAGAAAATATGCATTTGGAATTTGCTCAGTGTTGATTTATTCAAACTGCTTGAGCAGAAAACCTAAACTAAAACATTTTTGAATTAAAATAAGCATTTCGGGGTTAAATACTTAAAAGGTATCGAAAAGCCACATAAATAAAAAAAATTACTCAATCTAGAACATTGAGTAACTGGCCAAATCAGTTCAGCATGGTACTGTGTACAATTTTCTTTAACATCAAAACACAGTATTAGGCAACATAACGAAAGTCTAATTACATTAAACAGCATGATACCAATATTTTCTTAGCTGTTGTGGCAGGTTTTGTTATCATGCCAATCTACTGTCAGTTTCTATGATGCAAGACGTTCAGTGACATCTTGTCCTCAGAAAAGCACTGCACCTGCAAAACGGCTGGATGCAAAAACGGAGCATCTTTATTACATAGAAGGAGAATTTTCTAGTTCCCCAAATCTTTTAATAAGTACTCTACATCTCTGAAATGTCTGCCAGCCAGTTAAGCCTAATTAGACTTTGCGTAACAGGAATAATCCTCCAATTTATTTTTACAGTTTGGCTATTTTACCCTAAAACCTGCAGTTCTCGTGCGGATTTCATAATTCACAATTTATGAATACTCTCAAGTGTGCTTCTGTGACTTCCTGACAGGGCTTCTAGAATGTGTCATGCATGTGTGCGTTTGTGAAAGTGTGCCTCTAAGTGTGTCTGCCTGTATTCCTCTGAAAGTGTTTTTTGTGAGTACCTATGAGTCTACAAACATGCTTGTGAGTATATCGGACAGTCTCTGTATACGTGAAAGTGTCTGTGATGGAGTGTCTATGTAAGTATCTTTGAGAGTGGTGGTATGCGGGTCAACCTCTATGTAAATGAGTTTCTCAGTAAATAAAAAATATGTATGCATTTCTTTTCTTGTCACGTTAGATTTATTTATATAGTTGAAATTGGAGAAAGGTAATAGGGGATTCCACTTTTACGCCTGACAAATGAGGGACGCTTTTAGAGATACAGAAATGTGGAACGTGTAAGGTAGAATATTGTAATGTAATATTAGGGACAGATACAAAGAGAAAAGGCATATACATATAACTGCTTTCCAGTATCTAATTTTATTCAAAAGAGCCTGACCTTATCCCATAAAATGTCCATCAGCACAATTTCATTCATCTCATAAAATAAACAGAATTGATATCTATGCATCAACATTGTTTGCTGTTCTGGAAGGAATACTAAAACACTAGAAAGCTTATTATTCAGTATATATTTTTGCCTCTTGTGGAAGGCATTTTAGTGCTCTACAGTAAGTCACAAAACAGTACTATGACCCAACAGCTTTTTATGATCGTGAATGAATAAGACTCACCCACATGCAGGCCTCTAGCCTGACTTTTGAGATGATAGTCCATAATGTTATAGTTTCTTCTGCGCCCTCATCGTCTGGGCATACAATGGCATCAGGGTATGGTGGTTCTGGGAAATTAACCGAATTACATTCATAAGCAGCAAGCGTCACCGAGGCTATGTGAGGACCCTGCCAAAACAAGTTTTAAAAAGTCAATTTCTTAACAATTTCTAGGTTAATCATCACACACAATCTAGAGATATGTACAGGTTATCATTTACAATGACAATGTACTTTAAAGCTGACATGTCAGTAGGAATTCTCTTTGTACAATTTTACATGAACTTTATATAAACATATACGTGTGTTTCCTGTAAAAGGTTAACTAGATAAAAAAAAAATAAAAAAAAATAACATCCAATAATCACCTTTTGCCTCTTTAATAGATTTTGCAAAAGGACATGCCCAAGAGGTTTGCCTTGACAATGGCAGTTAAGCTTACATTTCATAGCCATTAAGTAGTACTAACCACCTTTTATTTAAAAATGTTTATTGTGGTTTTGGTTAGTGCGTGGGTAAGCAATGGGAGTATGAATGCAGCGTTAATATATGTGCTTTGCACTTGGCCTTTGGGTCCATTCCGCATAATGTACAAACATGCATTGCCACTCATTCTGAGCTATGCAACTATGGGTGCTAATTAGCTGGACTGTGTAAATATCAGGTGTATCATTTGCAATGAGAATTATGTGCTTTAGGCAGGCAGTTTTATTTTAATCTGTAGTGATTGCCCTTGGTTTGAATGATGACGCAATTCCATATCTTACAGTGATCACTACAGCTATAAACCGCTTAATGACCAATGACATGCTATGTTTTCAATGGTATGTTTAAAGGATATGGTTAAATAAAACCAATTTTTTTTTAATATAGTTATATATTTTAGGGTAGTGAGAAACTGTAAAGAATTACTAAATAAGCAATTACACAAAATGGCAAGTAATACTAATGGGGGACAGGGCCTGAACGCAGACTGAGCAGGACGTAAATTTGCAAAGCTCCTGGCATAATCTCTAAATTTCAACTTAAAACTCGAGAAATACAGCAACTTTACCAAGCTGCCTCCACCTTGGAAGCCCAGGAGTATTGCACACTCAATCAAGTTGGGGTTATTTTGAATTTAACTGGTGATCCCGGAAGTACAAGCATGCTCTTTCACACGAGGTGGAGGACACAGCCAATTCCCCATTTTCGCTTACTTCTGCCTCCAAATTAGTCCCCTTACCATTCCCCCCTTTGAAGTGGTGGGGGTCACCCCGGTTCCCACTTGATACATTTCTAGTTCTCACATAAGAGTCACTGACTGTACCATGACGCCTTAAGATGGCGGCTGCAGCCAACGCCGCACAATACGGGGGTACATTCTGTCTGCGACTCACCACTCTAGCTGGAACTCAATGCATTGGTCAGCGACTCGATCAGAGCCCACATACTACACTCTTAAGAGCATGCTGTATTGTGTGCACCGGGCTAAAAAGGCAGCTGTTATTCCAGTACGGAGTTACTTTGAAACCGCCCAAATCGAGCAAGTGCCGCGTTACCCTCACTTGGACGGGCAGTGGTGACCACGGTCCATGCCTGGGATACTACCCTGACTCAAACGGAATGCAAGACAAAGCCATAAAAGCAGCAACACAGCGACACACCCATCATGGCAGACACTGCGTGTCTCTAACTCCATGGTACAAAACCTGATATGACCAAGCTAGACATTATCTTTGCAGACTTCTGTCAAAAGTTGGAAATCAGAATACCTCAACTTGCCCCACTGCAATCAAGCAGCCACTCACCTAGATTGTTGCTTCAAGGTCACAAGCAGGAGTCCGTGGCCTTAGCAGCGGAGAGGGCCCCTACATGGCGGCAGAGCAGGCTACACACTTTACTTCAGCACGAGATGACACAAAAGCGGGAATCAAGAATGCTCAAGACTGGATCCCACCAGGATCTACTGGGTATTCCATCTATACTGCCTCCCTTTGTAAACTCATCAGCTTCTTTGGCTTCCATTATCATTTATATGCAGATGACACGCAAATCTACCTGTCCTCTCCTGATCTCTCTCACCCATCTTTGAATGCGCGCGTGCCTCTGGCCGCGCATGCGCATTCGGCTCGACTTCGGAGGAGAGGTCACCAGCGCCTAGGGAGCCTAGCGCTGGATTAAGGTAAGTGGCTGAATGGGTTTTAACTCCTTCAGAGCCGAGGGAGGGGGCACACCAAGAGGCTATAGTACCAGGAAAACGGGTTTGTTTTCCTGGCACTATCGGATCCCTTTACACAGTATGTATGTGGGAGCAATTCAAGTTACTGTATCTTACTAACGCAGT